ATGGCGGCGTACAGTAAATTTCCAACACATGAAAATTACATTTCAAGGAAAATAAAGTGAAATATGTGGATTTTAACAAAATTACTTGACAGTCTGTTAGATAATTACATTCTTCATCTGAGGAAATCAAATTTTACATAAACATACAAACATTTAAGGAATTATGACAGCTTAAAGTCAAGATTAAAAGGATTGTTTACTAACAATTACAGCTCAAGTGTCACGGATAAGGATTTCTTACACATAAAGTACCAGCAGCTAATATCATTGGTATAACCTGTTTAAATGAGCTTAAGTGTGTTGTTTAAAAGTCAAAGCACAGTTCATTTTTCATTTTATGCCTTGTTAAAGTCAACAACTGGTACTGGATTTCACAACCCACTGATAGTAAATTTCATATAGGTAAGTTTTCTAAATACATATATCTGTACATAATTGTTACACAGTTCACAGTTAATTTAATGATTAATGCCTGATACCTGGGACACATCATTACTCTGTTAAATCTTGTATAAATTCATTAGGTAATTATTCTGAAATTTTTATATTTCAATTGAATTACGACAAGGGGATATAATTTCCACAGCTATATTTTCCTTATTTATTTAAGATTTAGAACTTTATTTGTGAAATAATTTGAATACTGGAATAACCCGTCAAGAATATTGTCTCTTTTGACTTTTGTTCGCTGATGATATGGTATGATTTGGTGAAAAATCTCCACGGTATGAAATAAGCTTCTTGAATATATTAGAAGTTAATGAAAATAAAAACCAAATAGTAGTTTTTTTGTAAAAGTAGTTGTCTAACAGCATGGAAAAATGCTTATTTGGTCAAGAAAATATATGTGAATGATTTTAATTTTGATTATCAAGGATGAGTTTCATGTTTTGTTTAAGTGTCCTGCATATGAATATTCAAGGGAATTATCATAGAAATACGCTAAGTATGGTTTGTTCATTTATTGGGGTGATATAAAAAGAGAGAAAAGCTTTGTCAATATAAATGAAGCTTTCACTTTACAATACCAGATTATTTATGTTTATATTTATATCATATTTATATGTAAGTAAACCTTCTTCTTTGTTTGCCGTACAGTTCCAAATTAATAAAACGTTTTAACTGTGTATATGAATGTGTATGTATTAGCCAATTATGGTTTTCATTCAGGTCATTGTTTAGTTATAGTCGTCCATCCAATTTAATATGTTCTCATGTTATTTTGACTCTTTATGCCATTCTATGTATGCTTGTACATATTCTAATTATAAGAAACTGGTAGTTTAAGTGATGAATAAACGTTCTTCTTCAGTCTTACTTTTCATATTTTAAAAATTACAGTTCCGGCGTGGTACGTCCAGTTATGTGTCGATATGCCATTAAAGTCAAACAAACCATTATTGTAAAAAAATCTGGAAACAAAGTGATCCCTCGGAAGTGTTAATCACATCAAAATTAAATAAGAATTGCAGACTCGGTTTGATTGAGTCTGTACATGAGGGATAATGAATAAGTGCAACATCCCTCACGCTCTCTAGCACTGGCCTAAGCGGTACTCAATTCTCAACAGGCATCAATAATCCCGACGGATCAGAACAAATATAACAACATTTAACAACTATTACTTCCAATGATAGTGTGTATACACTTTGTAATTAAATCATGGCATCCAATATTTTCACTGTTTAAAATTGAATACCTATCAGGCTGATGTTTCTCGGCGCGTGATAGATAATGCACATTACATAACTCCTCTACAACAGAGAGTACAATTGTCAGTTATTTGCATTGTTTTTATTTCTCATAAGCAGCAGGTATACTTTTTGCTAGATATGATTTTATCAGTTCAGTGTACGTTTAGATGACTTGTTAGTCAATGAAAATGATTTTTTTGTCGTTGCTTCAAACTGAATCTTATCATTGGCCGAAATTGTACAGCCATTTAACAATTCGTAAATTATTTTGCAAGCAACCCTTTTTTCTATGTCTTAGACCCTATGTGCTAAATGTTACAGTATTATTCAAAATATACTTATTCAACGTAAAATTTTCAGTCAAATAAATCAATGTTATAAAATGTTAGGGTAATTTGATACACGTAGAAAAAGAATTAAAGATGAAATCCGCGACATTTTCCCTTTTTACAAACTGTAAGATGGAAAATGATCATGTATCATTTGGATATTCTTAAAAATACTGCTTGAGAAAGAAATGTTGATAAAGTTATAAGCGATTTAGTATGAACATTTTTAAGATGAGCAATAAAATTGTTCTACAACATTTTATTATCTATGATATTAAAAAATGTTATGTAATAACGGATTATGTCATTAAGACTAACTATTATACAGCTCTATGAGTTTTCAAAAACCATTAACATCATAATCTATAAACAAAAAGGATTTTGTGTTATAATCATTATAATGTTTTGGTTAAAATAATAAAAAATCTGGAAACAAAGTGATCTCTCGGAAGCATTAATCACAACAAAATTACAAGAGAATTGCAGACTCGGTTTGATTGTGTCTGTACATGAGGGATAATGATTATGTGCAACATCCCTCACGCCCCCTTGCACCGACCTGAGCGGTACTCAATTCTCAACACGTAATAGTGCTGGCATCAATGATCCCGAAGGACCAGAAAAATATAACAACACTGAAATGAAGTACGGGGCAACTTTTTACAGCTGCCACACATCACTTGACACCTGCTGTTGTGAAGTATAAATTTCTGGAAATAAATAGTGTACTTATTAAATCTAAAACTGAATCTAACATATCATTAGATGACTGGTATAATCATTTTAGAGATTTGTTTTCTAATACTAATACAAATCAGCATAGTGAAACCGGCTCAGAAGATGTAGATTTAAACACACATTTTGATGAAATTGAGCAGTTGATATTTAATTCTGATATCTCTTATGAAGAGATACTGACAAGTATCAAATCACTTAAACTTACTAAAGCTTCGGGTGGTAATCTTTTGCCGCAGCAACTTGCCTACGGTATTCAATATCTATTACCGTATATTCGTAAATTATTTAACAGACTTTTTACGAAAGGTGAATTTCCAACTAGTTGGGCAACATCAATTATTATTCCTTTACATAAGAAAGGAAGTTTAAATGATCCCAATAATTATAGGGGCATTGCACTTCTTGATGTACTTAGTAAAGTGTATATTACAATTGTTATTAAACGGCTTACTTTTTACGCCGAAGCTTTTAATAAACTTTCTGAATCCCAAGCAGGATTCAGAGCCGGATATAGTACTATTGATAACGCATTTGTATTGCAATCAATTGTCTCTAGGTATTTTAATATGAAACGTCGATTTTTATATGTAGCCTTTATAGATTTTCAGAAGGCTTTTGATTCCGTGGACCACACAATATTATACGATATTTTAAGAAGAGATGGAGTTAAGGGTAAATTGTATAATACAATTCAAAGTATATACTTTTCTGTTAAATCATGTGTACGTTCAAATGGGAATCTTTCAAATATTTTTGAATGTCCAATAGGACTTCGTCAAGGTTGTAGTTTGAGTCCAATTTTGTTTGCTTTGTTTATTAATGAATTGTATATTTTAATGGTGGAAAATGATATCAGAGGTATCCAACTTTTTCCTGATATTGTTGAAGTATTTTTACTTATGTTTGCTGATGATATAGCATTACTTTCAGATACTATTGTCGATCTACAAAAACAGCTAAACTTGTTACAACAATTTTGCATTAGTAGTAAATTTGTAGTTAATATTGAAAAAACTAAAGTACTTGTATTTAAAAGAGGTGGTCAGTTATATAAAAGAGAAAAATTGCAGTATAATGGTAACCAATTAGAAATTGTAAGCGATTTCATATATGTTGGAATATATTTTAGTAACAGATTATCTTTGTACAAAATGGCTGAAGCTATGGCCACTAAAAAGAAAAAAGCACTTTTGTATATTCTCACTTCATTTCAACATATTTCTTGTTTACCACATAAAACATTTGTTTAAGATTTTTGATTGTAAAGTAGCATATGGATCAGAATTGTGGGTTCTTAAAGACAGGGGTCTTAAAGACAATAAATGTATAGAAACTGTACAATTATATGCTTGTAAACGTTTTTTGAATGTCAATATTTCTGTTTGTAATAACGCTATTCTTGGCGATCTGGGCAGATACCCAATGTATATATTTGCTGCAAAACGTTGTATTAGATTTTGGTTGAGACTTATAAACCTCCCCAGCGATACATGTAGATATACACGCTTATGTTATGAAATGCTGATGTATTATGACAGTATCGGATACAAAAATTGGGTAACTGATATACGATTAAACCTATATAAAAATGGATTTGGATACGTATGGGAGGCACAGGTTGTAGCCAATCCTAAATTATTTATAGTGCAATATGAACAGCGTCTTAAAGACCAGTTTGTGCAAAATTGGCAATTAAAGTGTCTAGAAAATGTAAAATTAAATCACTATGTTATGTTTAAGACTACCTTTAAAAGTGAAAAATATTTTTCTGTTATAGATATTGACAAATATAGAAAATGTTTTGCTAGTTTTAGAAGCTCTTCACATTGTTTAATGGTTGAAAAGGGTAGACATTTTAATATTGATAGAGAACATCGTGATTGTATGTATTGTGAATCAATGTTAGAGGACGAATATCACTTTCTTATTGTGTGTTCTTTATATGCAAATTTACGTTCTTACTATATACCATTGTATTATTATCATTATCCGAATGTTCAAGAGTTCTACTCTTTGATGGCAACTGAAGACGAGTCATTGATACGTAATGTTGCTATGTATATTTATTATGCAATGAAAGAAAGGGATAATTTTCTTAAATGTTTTGAATAATTTATATTCAGATTGTATTTTATAATTGTATTAGAAATTCGTATTGCCAATTTGTATTGTATATTGTATACACTGTGTATGGGCCGGAGGCCTCTTGTACAATAAAGATATTGAATTGAATTGGAAACAAAGTCCTAACGACTCAGTAGATGTGAAAAAAGTGACTTTCTGTCTCTTATTTCAACATACAAAATTATTAAATGTGATTCTTTCGTGGTTTGATGTTATGTTTCATGGTTATTAATTTGTTTAAATGTCTTCCATTAGAGACCAATTCACTTTAATCGTTATATTATTATATTGTAAATCCCGCTAGTATCTATGAAACGACTTGTATTTAATGAGTTGTAAGATATAATGTGTTTTTAACTATCAAAAATATTCAAATTTCATTCCATTCCTTACTTTTAAAAGAAATATTTTCTCACTTTTGGTCCATTTACTAGTATGGTATATTTTAGCCTACAAAGTCCATTGCAGACAACGTAATTTTCACTTGTAAATCAATTGCAAAACCTTTAAATCATACAAAAACATATACATGTAGATAATAGGTAATATTAAAAGCATGAAAAGGAAATTCATTGTCTATTCATCCGCAGGCGATGTATCTTAAATAACGAGTACATATATTCGGTCTTAAGTTTATTTGTAAGTGTTTGGTATATTGCCATTTTCTCAAATCTATAATTTTGTTACTTCAGAATATTAAGCGTTTTCACAAACATTCACATTTTGACCGGAAACTCCCATTTGCTTCATTTGCTGTTGTTTTTATCAGTAAATCTTCATCTACCGGATCTATGTATGAAATTATGTCGCCCGAGTCAAAGGTAATTCGTCATAGTCACCTATATACATTTTAACATTTTAAATTAAATATTTTATAAAATTACATAAATATTAAAAGACATAGACATTAAATACATATCGTAAAGTCTACAAATGACGGGGAAAAAACATGAACAAAATAACCGATTAGCAATATACACCCAAATGTAATGTTTTGAGGAATCAACAATAATGTGTCAAATAGGAAAGATACCAAAATTTTCCGAAACATGTTTTATCTGAACCATACATTACCCTATGATAACAACTGACAAGACATTGTCGCATAAGTTTTTATTCAAGTTGTTATTTTCTATTTAAATAACTTTAATGCATAACTAAATTCGAATCAAAATTTTGTAAATATCATGATAATGTATAAAAATCAATTTATGCTCTTTAGTTGAGTTAGGCATCTTACAGAATACTAGTAATAATGATATAATCTATTTAAAACAAATAATTACAGAGTGGGTAATCTCTTTTACCCATGAACTTAAATAAAAATGAAAACTATACTAAAACGAAATTGGAATGATATTTTATCTGAAGAAGCCCAAGCCTACACACTTTATTTTTTATTACAAATAATAAAAAACATTTCTGTCAAATATTTTAAATTTTCTTTAGATAGTTTAAAAAATAAAAAACAGACACACTATTGTTAATAGTCGGACGATCGGGATAATATTATTATACGTCCGAAAATGTTTCGGATGTATACTAGATATGCTTGGTCTGTTGTACTTCTCTTTGCTTCTTCGACTTTAACACAATATTTTAAATTGTCTAAACTGTCAAATACGTTTTTTTTAACTTCTTAACATCTCTGAACGAAACTAGTGCAGTCAATTGAATATAAAAATGAAAAAAGTATCTCATACTTCTGTGAAAGCAGTTTTTGGCTGGCATGGGCAATTTGAACGAAACCTTTCTCTCCCGTAGACACATGTTCAGCATAACACCAATCAGAGTTATCGCTGAAATGAAATATGTCTTATAACTATTATTTTGCTATTTCGAGTAAGCGTTTTCACAGACTTCCACATAATTAGCAGGAAACATCCCACGTGCTCCATTTGCTGTTGTCCCTACCCACCAACCATCATCTATTGGTTCAATATTTGTTATAATATCGCCCGGTTCAAAAGATATTTCGTCATCGTCCCCTGTAAATATTTCAACACATTTCAATATTCATTTTCAAAATATAACAAATTTATTACAATCTCAAATTGTTAACTGCATCTTGTACTTCTCTTTTAATAGTATATACTATGAAACTTTAAACTGTCACTTTCAAAATACATAACCTCGATCTTGTTTTTGTCCTAACTTGAACATATGATTTTTATCTTACCGGTTTTCTAGCAACGTTCAGAGCTATGGATGAAAAATATTCGATAAACAAACCATCTCTATCGAGGTATTCTTTCATACAATTGTCACACGTCTTTCAGTAAACATTCGTCGGAGATTTAAACAAACTCTTTGAAATTCATACCTGCTGTGTAATCGTACAAGGCAGTTACATTGAATCCTGGAGTTATATCAACACTTTTTTTGCTTGTACTTTGATCCTTATGTACAACTGAAGTAAAAACAACGTGAGATATTCACTTGCAAATTTTAAGAGGAAGTAATATGTATAAATTACTTATTGTTTAAGTCACAACACAGTTTCATAAAATTTACCTCTGCTTTTATTGATGTTTCAGAGCAAAATTTTTTAACTATTAGGTGTTAATATTTTAGTTATTCTACACACATGTCAGATGACATTTCATGATTTTCTTCTATACACGGCACATGTTTATACATGTATATCATAAAAAAATAGTTATCAAAACTCAAGAAAAGACAAACTGATTTTGGAGCCTTACATATGACAAGAAAAGCATTAAGTGGCAACCGAAATTGATAAATTTAGATTTTCTCTTTCGTATTACTTGACTTCTTGACTTCTTATGTCAGCGTAAAATTCTCTATAGTAAGTTACATTTCCTTCATATTGCTTATGTTTGCATCATCGCAATATACTGTTCACACAAAAATATTTTGGTAAAGAATGCAAGGATTTTATTACGGAGAAGTCGTTTAGTTTTCCTGTAAAACCAGTTAGACGGATCAGCCGCAATGATATGACTACAATTATGCGTTTAACTCGGCGTAACTCCCCCGCCCCTAAAAAAACAATAACAATTATTTTAAATTTACACCACAAACAAGCCTCGAAATTGTGTGACAATTGTACAACAAGATCAACCAAATTGATCAAAAAAATAAAGCAATCGCTTTAAAATATTTTCAAAGCGTGTTATAACAGCTTACCGGTCTTTTTAACATTGTTTGCATTAACATAAATGTGTTCCTCTGAATCTTCTGATATTTCCGTCAGTTCTTCTTGTTTATTCTCCAATGTCCCACTCATGTACATATACTTCGACCCGTCATCTGATACAATTAGATGTACATTAATTATGTATGCTAAATCAGAATGATTAAAATAGACAGGCATAGAAAGTGTTCAATAAAATTAGATCGTTACCTTTAACTTTTTATGAAAACGTGGAAAGCAGTTGTGACAGAAAAGATCCTTCCATTTGCAACGAAAAGATTTATACTTGAAAGCCAGAAATATAACAAAGAAACTGACTTTTTTTTCCCTATAGATGAAGTCTTCCAAGAGCAATGGTTTACCAATAATATATTCAAATATTGCAAACAAATGAGACAAAGAGAACACAATTGCCAAAACTTCACTTATCAGCAAATGCGTGTACATGGTAAATAAGGGAAAAAAACAACAATTTACATTTATTCAATATTCAGCTCATTCATGTATGCGGTTTATAACTGAAATTTACAGATATAGTACATTTTAAATCGGAGAACTAACAAAAGCATTACCTTTTAGAAGAGACTCAGATTCAACAGCGTCTGTAAAACCATGCAGAAGGTCTCCAAGGAATTCAAATGTTAGTCTACATTCTGGAATCTGATGCCAACATTGAAGTATAGTGTTATACAATTCGACAGGACATTGCATTGATCTTCCTTTGGGTATTGGTAGTCGATGTCCTTTGGATAAACTACGTTCAACAGGTTCCTTATCAAAACCTGCAGGATTGTCACAAATAAAGTTATTTTATGTTACTACTATGATATTGTGACATTACTAAATTAGACAGAGCAATGTTTTTTTTAAAGAAATATCTATGATGGAATAAAAATAGATATGAAAACAGGCAAGCTGAATGTGTTTTTTTTCCTTTGCAGTGTGCAATCTTAAAAATGAGTTGTCCTACTAGTAATTACATACATTTCAAGTGCTAATTTAAAATTCGACATCCCTCTTGTGCATTTATGATTTTCAGATACACACTCAATAGTTAACTGGTAAGTATTAATGAATTTATCAATATTTTCAAGAGAAGTATCGGTCTTTTGACTATATTATGTACAAAATGTTAATATAAAGATACATTTTTGTACTTTTATTTTTCTTATAGAATGTGATTTTTAGGTTTTCCATCAAGGCTTTTCGTACTAAATGAGCATAAATACTTGGAGTCATTTTGACAGTCATTGTCTGTTACCGATCGAGTCACGCACACGTGGACGATTCCAGCGCTGTGTTTTTTGTCTGACAGTTCTTCTGACTTTGTATTTATGAAAAGCTCTTAAAAATCTGGATACAAAGTGATCCCTCGGAAGTATTTATCACAAGAAAATTACATGAAAATCGCAGACTCGATTTGATTGAGTCTGTACATGTGGGATAATGAATAAGTTTAACATCCCTTACACCCCCTAGCACCGGCTTGAGTGGTACTCAATTCTCAACACTTAACAGTGCTTAAGTTACCTGAATACGGAACTTCCCCAAAAGTGATCATTTCATACATCAAAACTCCAAACGACCAAACGTCGGATTTTGTACTTAATGCATTTTCGTTTGCTGTAACTTCTGGTGCCGTCCATTGCCATTCAATTTCATCTGATAAATATATATTAAAAATATATATTAAACTGGAATATAGAAACTCAGCTATATCAAAAGTCACAAAGCCGAAAATAACTCAAAAGATGAACACTATTTCATTTTCATTATAAGAGCATTTTTAAATAAATAAAATGTGTCATATTTTGTCACCACTTTTAATTCAAACTTGAAAATTATTGCACTTGACTGCATCAAAAATGATAAATGATAAGTTATTATAATTGTCTCTCTATTTACGTCCAATTAAAATTAAATTTTTGAACTAGAAAAATTAGTTATATATCTACAGGAAGTGATAATTATATAGTGTCATTGAAACGTTTCTAACAGATGTAGTTGTAGAAATCACATTTTAATTGGTGCCATGCAAGAACGTTTGCTACAGTCTTCATATAAACATATAGACAAAAACTGTTTCATTTCATAGGAGTTATTCAATTATTGAACATTAGCATTATCTTAGAATATCGTAATTGAAACATTAATAGAACAAATAAGGATTCTGCAGCATTTACAGAAATAAAACAAATTATGTAATGTGTCTCATAATGCGTTCTGCAAAGCTCCGGTGCCAGTATTAAATATACACCCATCATAAATATCACGTCACCCATGTGACTATAAATTCCTACCTTGTCTATGTTTGTCGTTTTCACTGCTTTTCATAAGTTTTATGAGTTTTGGGTGCAATATCTTAAGTTTATCATGTTCACAAATTAAAACGTTTTCTGCTTTCAAATTGCCATGGACAATACCTTTTCTACCTTCTAGAAATGCCATGCCATAAGCAATCTATTAAATAAATGAAAAGAACATTCCACGAACAGTTTATTTAAAAAATAATCAGTACTTCTACGACCTCAATTATTTTAACGGCAAAAAACCTGTTATTATTAGGAACATTTCAATGAATTGTTTAAATATTTGATAATAAAAAATATATAGATAAAATAAAATAAATACATTGTTAGTGGAAATTACAGACTTGGTTCGGCTTAGCCTTGTTCATGTGAGATTAGCGTAATTTGTTCCGATCAATCCGCCTTAAATAGTATTCATGTTTCAAAACCAAAACACTTGAACCAAAAAACGATATAGAATAACAAAAGTCATTTTGGGAAGTACTCTTTTCAAGTCTTAATCGTTTGAATGTTTTGGTTAAAATAAAAGTCCAATCATGTTTATATAAAGGGTATAGATATGATAATTGTGACAAGCATCAAAATTATAAATGCTTGTTTTTTGCCTTTGATCTAGAAATCTTACATGTATAGAATCCCAAACTATTTTAATTATATCTATTGTGAATGAAGTCTGAAACAAAGTGAAAATCATCGTACGATCGTTATGGATTTAACTTTATTTTTGTTATCTTTCGTTACATTACTTTATTTGTTTTGCTTTCAAACATACCTCTGAAGCCATCCTGGTTAATGTTTTAAGAGATAACACTTTTCCAGAAATTTTTCTGAGGTTACTTTGTAGCGTGTCTTTGACCGTTTCCCCGAGTACAATCATAAATGGTTCAGGTTCAAGGACGACAGCTATCATTTTAACAAAGTGTTCACTTTGTCGAAACTTAAACAGTAAGTTGGCTCCTTCTAAAAATGGACCTTGTTCACTTTTGCATTTTGTCACGATGGTAACATCTAATGTATTGAACAATTTGCCTGTAATGAGGTAATATAGAAATAATTAGAACGAATTAAAATAGGCAATATCAATCTGCGGCTAAATATATTATATTTTTTGTTGTTTTACAATTATCTGACCAGTATTTTAAATATTTACTTTCATTGCATTTACTAAACATAGAACAGTAATTATACCACTGAAAAGCTCTCCAAAGTTGCCGACAGGAAATGAATTTTTAAGTTCAATCGCATTTCTATCAATTTCTATTCTCCTTGGATAAACAACTGGATTTTGCTTCGGAATTGTATACATTAGTTTGCACCGCAAACCATCAGCAAATCCTGTCACAAAATAAAGATCAGTGCATCAGTACAAAAAGTCTTAAAATGGCAACATGTGTCATCAGATTGCTACAATACGCCACACAGTAACAGAGAAAGATATGTTTAGTCACGTTTTCTTCTTTTGCCATAAAATAGTAACTGTATTTACAAACAATCAGTTCATACACATTCTCGTTTATATGCATCCATTTGCATCAAATCTGGAAACCTGTTATAATATGTACAGCAATTTTGTTCAATTACGTTAGAAATTAGAATTGCATACATTTAAAAAAAAAACAACCCCCTTATATCAAAAGCTTAATATCAAATTTATATCGTAACAACTTACGTTTATAGTGTTCCACAAGCGAAAAGATGTCGCTGAATTTTTGTATAGGGCTGATGAACAGTCGATCATTTTGTGACAGGATACGATAGTGTTTAACAACTCCTTGATTTGAACAAATACTTGGTACCAGCATTGTTAAGACAAACATCCGTCCTCCTTAAAATTAACGCAAACGGTGTGTTAAGTAATTTGGAAATATGAAAAATGAACAATATCAATGGAACCAAACTGTTTTTACACGTTTTTATATTTACACGTTCTGTGATGTTCTATCTTGTTAATTGTCGTCAGAGGTATTTCCTTTCCACACCCAATAGAATGTCCCTTCCCTCCTTTCCCTTCCCTTGTGCCCTCTCAAGATTTGGATCGGAAACTACTGAGACCCTGCTAGTGTGGCTGTGTTTTGTCGGAGGCTGCATTCTGTGAACATCTTTTTGATGACCTTTGTCCTCATGTTTTTAAGAAATTTTTTCAGATGACTTATCTTGGATTGACAAATGATCTTGGTATCCTCATCAAACTTACACGGACGTATTTTTCTTATTTTTCTCAGAAGCTAAGTATTTTCAGCTTCGTTAAGTGACGATTAGGTCTGGAAAATATGGTGATTGATGGGGGACTTTGAAACCACACTCACGTATACATAGCATCACGACATCCTTTGTGTGGACTGATGTATCGTTATAATTATGTCAAATCTCACAACGAAAGTGACAGATGCTATTTTGTTGTCTTAATAGTGGCCACCCTATTCTTACTGGACCTTGTAGCTTTAAACGTCTTAAAAGTTTTCCCATTCGCTCACTGGTGTGTACTCTTGACTGACCATTTCCATTTCGGAAGCAATCACCCTCAGGACCCTTATTTAACTTGGACATACCCGAGTTACTTTAAATATAAATGAATAAATATATGAAATTGTCTGTCAAGGATTTAAAACCTATTACTATCACCGATATTTATGTACCCAGCCCTCTCTCCTCGCCAACCCACTTGGGTTTATACGTAATTTCTGAATGAGAGTAGACAGTAACAGCATAAAATAATTATCCTGCAAGCGGCAAACCTTAATCAGGTTTAAAGCATTTAATCATTTGAATGACGGAAAAAGTGATTCATTCTCATATTTTTGCTACATAAACCAGTATAACATAACGAAACGTTTAAAGATACGTACTGCCAAATGGACGTATAAGGAATGTACCCACAGGAGTGTCCGAATTGCTCATCAATTCCTCCGAGGCGTGTGAGCTAATATCATACCACCAGCTGAAATATTGCCAGGTTTCAATCAGTTACAGTAAAGTTGTGTGATATATGAATTGTAGTATTATAATAATCAGTGACCTAATCGAGACAAAATAACTAAGATTTAAATTTTGAAAATAGTTAACAGGTGCAGTCAATTGAATATATAAGTAAAAAAGATTCTCATACTCCTGTGATATCAGTTTTTGGCTGGCATGAGAGATATAGGCAATAGGAACGTAACCTTTCTCTCCTGTAGACAAATGTTCAGCATAACACCAATCAGAATTATCACTGAAATGAAATAATTAATACAAACATTGAATGTTTCATTAAAATGCAATGTCTCTGCGAAAAGTGTGATACAAACGACAAATCTGAAAATGCTTTTATTATTCCGTTGCAACCAAATTGAGGAAATTTAATGAATTGCATCGTGTCAAATCGTTCGGAAATTAATAGCCAATGACTCAAATAGAAATTATTATTACATTGTCTTTTACCTTGTGATATCATCACGGATTTTAAGTTTCTCTCGCTTTTTGAAGCTTATTTCATCGTCAGAAAACTTTTGAAAATCAAATATTGCTGTTACTATCTTCGCTCCAGAATCGACTGAAGAAAACAGTCATGACGCATTAAATACTCTTATTTTCGTAAAATAGACATATAAGTAAACATAGTACACGGATAATTAATATATTGAAATAATTTTAATGTGTACATTTTACATTCAAGTTATAACTGGTTGTACAAATACCTGAAGTTTCCATTCATTTGTCCTTTTTTAGTTATTAGAAGAGTATACATATGTTCAAATTGCCGTTGCCGTAACCATTGCAAACATAATTTTTCTCTGATGAAGAAATTAAAATAACTTGCACAATTGCCAAAAAGTGTTCTACAAAACACAGCCATCAGTCTAGCTTTTGTACTTTTTGAGTTATGGCAGAACCGATATTTGATCTGTTTCATAATCTTCATATGGTCCTCTATCAACATGCTAAGTACAAGTGTAACAAATTTAGCTTTGTCAATTATTTGAGGAATGACAAAATCTTGTGGGTTTTTCTACGGACGAGATAACGACTAACACCCACTTGTGTTTGTTCTTCAAGTCGTCCAAAAACAAATCGTTGCTTTAAGTTGTATCATGTCACATAGAGATCAAAGAAGAAGTCCATTAACCCGAAATGACAGATGAAAGCACAGGATGGTGAGAAATAACCTGCATCTGTTTCTTCGAAAAATGCAAATAAATTAGTTCCCTTTCGAAAATTGTTAAAATTAAAATTATTTTTCAAAATTTACTGAGTGGAAGAAAATCAAATTTTCAAAGATTTGAAGGATATCGTTTCTTGTTGCACCTAATGTTTTATAATAAGGTTACGTTTAAGTGAAGTAATGTTAGCTTAATAAAAAAACAGTTATATCACTATACTGTTCAAGAGTTTACATTTACTTGAAATATACATACCATCAGTACAAACGTTTTCTTGAAAAGATGTGTAAGGACCAAAGCCTTCCTGAACATCATCAACATCTTCACTCATATTATCACACGGATCCTCTTTAAACGCATTCAGTACACAATTCTGTCTATAAAAACCAAACTGCTTACATATTGTCAATACAGAAATGGTAAAACACTGCTCACAGTGTAATATTTGTACGACAGAAACTTAGCAATTTCATCGTAATGCAATTTTGAATTAATGAACTCTAAATGTATGTTAGTGTGAAATCGTGGATAAATTGTCGTATACGATAATATGTTTTGTAACAAACTAAGTAAATCTTGTCAAAAGTTAAATTACGGAAATAACACCGAGCCATTGGCTAACATAATTAGTTAAAACATTATAGAAAGTACCTGTCTTTTGGAGGCTCTCTTTTTGATGATTTGTTGCATGCGTTTGAAAAAATACCGGACCTTTCTTGTCAAAGAGGTTAGAAAGTGTCTTAAAATTGTGCTCTACAAAAATTATCATCATTTTTTTTATTATTGATAGCTCACCAAACAGAGCTGCATTACTGGTATTGGTACTGCAGTACGTACTGCAGCAATTTTTCAAGTACTGGTACTTGTACTGATACTGAATTACTCTTACAAAATGTTGCTACTACTGGTACTGCATTACTGTCTTAAAAAGTGGTACTGCTACTGCATTACCCAGTACTTTTGGTTTTGATAAAAATTAAAAATAGCATCAATTTTTCTCATAAAATAAAGCTGTAAATTACATTAACTTTATTTTATTTTTGTGAAAAAGTAAGTTATTGAATCTAAAGATAATTTGCTGCAATATTTCTTCAAATGTTAACATAGTATTTATCATAAAAAGCACCAAAGACTTTAAGTAAAAATTAAATTAAGATAAACAGACTCAATAACCTTTACCCTAAAATATCCTTATTAAAATCTGTTATTACTTTGTATTTACTATTAAAAGAGCAAAATAAACACTAATTAATTTCTTCTATTCTAAATAATCCCATTTCAAGTGAAAAAAGTGATATTGTTAGCACCATAAAAAGTTGTTATTTACTTTGGTATAAATTGAACAGAGGTGTGAAGGTGTGAAAGGCAACAAAAGACTGCTGTGTTTTAAATGAAAGATGTTTGCATTGTATTTATACAGTTGACTGGTTACTACATAATTAGATATGACATGAATATATGTTGTAAATATTGTTTGTAACAAGTATGTTAAAACTATAAAGTTGTAAATATGTTATGTTAACTTTAAAGTAAATTATGATTTTATTTCTTTGCTGAATAATACTTGCAATTATTTGTTTGACACTGTATTTATTCAAACTTTGATGAATATATAAAAGTAATGGTACTGATACTTAATTACTTCACCAAAAAAAGTACTGGTACTGCAGTACCGAGCTAAAATCTAGTACTGGTACTGGTAATGGTACGCATAATTTGCCAAGTACTGGTACTGGTACTTAAGTTCTACACCCTGAGTACTGATGCAGCTCTGTCACCAAATGATATTAATGGGGGAAAATTGAACAGGTAAAATCAATGTACGAATTTCTTACGATGATAATAAAAATAGTTGTTACACAAATTCTTACTAACAATATTTGAACTTATAATACTGCATGCTTGTAACGTCACTTTTCATTGGATAATCCTGACGTTTACATAATTATATATACACAGCTGATGTCAATTTATAAAGAAAGCTCAGTATTTTCCCTAAAAAAGGAAGTTTGCTTTATTGTAAATTCGTTGTAAATATTCCTTATAGGTAATATGACTGATATATACATTTTTATGCAAATAAACCATCGCCTTGCGGCCACACAACCATTAATATAGGGTCGAATTACATGTCTAACATCTTTATAGCATATAATACATACGATATTTGGACATACCTTAATTTACATGATTTAAAGTCAGTTTTTTTATATTTAAAAACATTATTAACATTATAACCATTAACAATATACATGTAATTTGTGAAATTAAACAGTAGCAGAAAATACAATAAAACACTTAAAGGGCCCATGCACTTGCATAGTATGCAAATCAATCAAGTGAAATAACTCTACACCTAGTTTAAAAGTTTTCTCTGTATTGATATGACAATAAAGACTAACAAGGGAGAGCATTGTTCACGGAGCGCAGTTCTAAAAATATTCAAAATCAATTACATACAGAATGGGCACCGCACAGACATGTGGCTTACGTCAAATTATAAGTGCAGAAATTTGTAGGACGAATTGGAAAATTTTTAGGGGAAAAAGAAGCAAAAATTGAAGGCGCTGAAATATTTATTGATAAAGTGAAATAAGTAGGAACGGTAATACAAAATACATGAATCAAGACAACGCATAGGAAGGAACAAGATGGAGTACTGCTATGGAACAGTCGGAAGCAAATCACTACTGGGATATTAAGCCGGTTCATGATGCACCAAACTTTACTCTTATTCCTATCATATTCTTTTATACTAGAAAGTTAATAATTTAAAAATGATGTGAAACAAGTAAAATTATCACAATGTTTTAATTGTTCAGAAGTTGAAATGAAAAAAAACACGTAAATAATCATGTAAATAAATGTTCCTTTTGTTAGAAATCCTAATGACCATAACCAAGTACTCAAAGCCTTTAATACAAAATCAAACATAAGAGTCATCGATACTGTAATCGATTATTGAGTCCTTTGAAGTATGATTTTTTGTTTGAGGTCATTATTTTTCAAGTCACTCCATTAAACAATACTAAAAAAACTTAAGAACTTTCAGACAAAAAAGAAACTGAAATTATTTGCTTGCAAAAGGCTCATCCATCGTTTCTTTGCCATGGTCTGATAATATATAGATACCTCCATGATTATCAGCGTTTGTAATTGTATGCTAAAAATACAACGACGGTTGTTATAATTTTACATTATAATTATGATTGTTGCAAGTACAGAATAATGTTTGATTGGATATATTTTTATGACCTTCATTCATTAGTTTCATATTACAGGTTTAAAGCAAAAAATATGAGAGCATAGTTTTACCCTAATAGGCGAAGGTATTTCAAAACTAAAAACCACTACAATATTTCTTGGTATTTTTGTTAAATACTTCAAGGTCGTAACTAACATTGACTATAAACCACTTATTATACTGGCTGAGATTTCTTACTATTAATAGATGGGTTGATACTGAACGATTCAAAAGGTCATTATTAGTAATATCATTGGCAAATTGTGCTATTATGGAAGTGTTTTGGTAACCAAAACGAGGTGTCACTGAACATTTTGTTTTATTTTATCAGGAAGAATAGAACAATTCAAATTATTCCCGTTTGATGCCTATCAGACTCTACACATGTTTATGCACAGAGTCACTTCAATGACATTTAACGGAAGTAAAATATTTGCATTTCAGTTATAGATTAGAAACAAAGCCAAGATGTAAATGCTGTAAAAGTAAACTTAAAAGGTTCAATAATAAATTCACTTCCGAAAAATAATCATGTTTATAAAAAATATTATTTCTTATTATTTTTAGAAATGAAAATCATTGTAAAAACTTTCTAATAATAATTTATAGTTTTTGCATATTTTATTAATTTTGTGTATTGCTTCATCAGCACTAACAATAAATATGAAACAATAATGAAACGTTAGGTAACAAATCAAAACAGAAAAACAAACGTGTTAAATACGATTTAAAGTGGAACTTACATTAACTAAATTTACCCGTGTCACTTTTGCAACTTCGTAAATATAGTATTGGACGGCAGTGCATATATAATGACGTGTCATTCGCATTAAAGCATAGCGTAAAGACGCGTCACACTATAAGCGCGTCAATGAAAGAGGGATTCGTTTAACTGTAAACAATTATATTTTGGATATGTAATAAAGAAAATATTTTATTCTATGCTTTTCAGTGGATTACTGATTTATCCGTGAAAATTATATTTGATAATTTCACAGTAAAAATTATCAAAACATATTTTCACACTTTTCAATGACGAAACTACTTTTTTAAGATTTTCCCCATGTGGTACCTCAATTTTATTTTTGCTGACAATTCTGACAATGTCAGGCTGTTTAAAGAAAAAGCAAAGGTGAAATTGATAAATAAGTTAAATGTCAAAAGTAATAAAAAGAAGAAACTTACTTCAATTCATTCAAATTCCAATCACCAAATTTCGTCTCTAATTTTTTTGTTTCAATTTTTACAGTCTGAAAAAAACATTCCTTCCACATGCAAAGCTGCTATTGATGACACTTGGGCATATGAAAGTATTCTACCAGCAATAACTGTCGTATGCTTTATGAAAAATTGGAAAGCAATGGCAGCCATCTGCTCGTAGAATAAATAAACTACCCAGCGTTCCTGAGCCAGCTTGCAAGTTTTCCATTTTCCTATCTGCATTTTTGAATGTTTTCACATCTGTCAACACTTATTTTTTGTCTGTTACAATCCTCAAATAAGTTTTCTTTCTTTTAAAAAGGTGTATGACTAACAAATCCAAATAATATCCCTCTGAATCAAACACAATTATTTTCCTCCCGTGAAATGCACAACTTTGAAAAATGGCTGCCACTTACATTTAACAAAGCCAGGTCTAATATAAATTCGCAGTAAGTAACAGAAATTTGGATGGATGGTTGGACTTTTTCTCCTACAAGAATTGTTTGTTTTTATTATTAAAACAAGCAAACATTCATATTATTTTAATAAAATGAATAATATCACCGCCATTTAACGTTGATTGCCGAACTTAATTTTCAGCTCAAGACTTCTTGCATTTAATGAGAAATTCCGACTAAATGGGGCTCTCAATGGTGAAAACAGATTTTAATATTAACGTTAATATTATGGAAATTTCGTTTGAACTTGTTTTTAAGCATAAAATAAAAAGAAAATTTGTTTGTTTTTTGTGTAAGATGTAATTTTATTTCATCTTGTGAACTTTAAAAACAGTAATATCACTCGTGGCTACGCCACTCGTGAGAATACTGTTTTTAAAGCCCGCTCGATGAAATAAACTTTCATTTTACACACAAACAAACAAATATCCTCTATATATTCTAGTAGCTTTATTACTAAATTTAATGAACTCGTTAAATAAAATAATATTATGCTAGCCAGAGGCAGGCAAAATATAATTTTAAACTCCTTCAATAATTTAAGTTTTGAACCTACACTTATTCAATATCCACTATATCAGGTAACTTACATACAACCATACACGCTATATCAATCAAGTTCAAATTTAATTTGAATATTATAGAAAATTATACATACCTACACTTATATGCCCAAACGTTGGTAAAATCTTTGAGATAACAAGATTAATCACTAAACGCAAACATACGTAACAGTTTGATAATATTTCTTGGTTTTAATCTAAACGTTAAGATAAAAGTAGTCTATCGTAAAAACTTTGATCAATTAATGAAAAAAAAAATTAACTTGTTTTCCAATATTAAACTGACTCGCTTTATTTTATGATCTAATACTACCTGTAGGTAAAGAACAAAAGGTACGGTGTTAAGGTGATTTATATGCAAGTACATAATGCAGACAAGGCTATATATTATGTGATCAGTGTGTGCCCGACATCGACTCCGATGATTATTGTATTGATACAACATTGCCAAGATTTTCAATGGACATGGGAATATTAAGCACTTTTTATGCCTAAATGAAATAAAGCGACTGGGATATAATTATAATCTTTTAAACAAATATTTTATTCAAAATATTTTATCTAGATATATAACAGAATAATTAAATGCAATATTTCAGAATCACGGAATTTCCTGAATTCTGGACAAGAGGCTGTATGAATATTACTAGTAAATACAAAATTATAGAAAGTCGTCTCGTTTACAAGCATTTAAAACCAAACAAAAAACCTAATGGTGTAATGAAAATAACATTATTTCTGATTCGTAGTTTGGTTTAAGAAAGGTAGCTCTATAACGTATGCTGTTATTTTTGTTATATTCTATAATTGAAAAATAACTGAACAAGAATAAACGATTGTTTTGTGATTTATTGAATTAAAAAAGTTGTTTTTATTTACTCAATATGCAGGAATGCACTCTGCTTTAAGATGTATCATGCTGGTTTAAATTGGAAATTATTAAGAATAATAAGAAGTATGTATAACTGTGTTAGAAATTTCAAGGATGAATTCCATGTATATATGTTTTAGTTAATTTATTTATTAGCAAGTGATAAAAATTAAAAAAAAAAGCTTTGTCGATATATAAATGAAGCTTTCAAATTACGACACCGGATTATTAATGATTACATCATATGTATATGTACATGTAATTAAACATTCTTTTATGTTTGCCTTACATGTCCAAACAAATGAACAGATTTTACTGTGAATAGGAATGAATGTATTAGCCAGTTATGTTTTCATTCATGGCATTGCTAATTTAGTGTCCTTTATTCAATATATTATGTTAACTGTCATGTCATCTTACTTTTTATGCCGTTATACATATGCATGTATATATTTTAATAATGAGAAACTTAAAGCTAAAAATAAACTTTCTTCTTCTTCTTTATATTTGAATAATTACAGTTTGCGGCGCGGATTGAACAATTATGTGTCAATGTGCCTTTCAACACAAACAAACGATTTAACGTTTAACCGTAAATGGTATAATTTGGTTATTCCTTTCATTCAGAATAATGATGTTTTTAGAAAGACTTTAAGCTAAAATCTATATATTGTCTAACATCATTGACCTGGCACTCTTGCATTTGACCTCGTAGTCGGTATATTCCGTAAACATTACGATCTACATGTAAATCGATATGAATGTAAATATCCAATTGTTACGATGGTGAAAATTGAAGATCACTCTTAGCGCAGTTGGTAAAGGGGTTTCACTAGAAAACTGTAGACATAAACTTGTAGGTTCGAATCCTATTTCTGCGATTTCATTTTTCGTTTCAATTTTAATTTTTTAAATTCTCATTCTCTAGAAACTATTGCAAACCGTTTTGTCCTGTGTACTATCTGTGTAGTATTTTTAATACATGTAACTGCCTTTATAGCGTGTGTGAGCTAAAGCATAATTATAAGATTGCATCATGTCACAAAGAGTTCCGTTGAAAGATTTTTTAATGAAATAACAAAATATAATTGTGTATAAACACACCCTTTAAAAAGGTATTCTAAAACCAGTTGTAGTTAAACGATTTTAAATTAATTCTTGCAAGTAAATTAAAAAAAAAACTAACGTGATGTTGGTTAGGATACGAAACAGATACCTTCAGATCGGTAGTCCGACATCTATACCAATACACCACACCTTATGACGAGTGAAGTCAAATATATCGATATATTCGATAGATACTGGCAAATACTTATTCAAATGACCTTTACTAAACTAAATGAAGTGCCAGGTCAATATTGTTGGACAATACCTGCTTAAAACGATGTTTTCTTTTCACCATTCAAATACACATGCTTAACGTCAAGAACCCTTTAAAGAAAAAAAACTGAGCAGATCAAAAATTCATATACATTTGTACTGTCAAGTATATTTATATGTTCATTCACTCATATTGTATATTATAGACATAATGCAATTTCATTTTGAATTGAGTCTTACAAATTATAAGTTAAATTATTGAAACAATGATGCTCCTTCGAAATTTCCAAAAGGTCATAAATCCTTTCTTTTCGGAAATATCATTGAAATTAAGGATAAATGCTGCCTCAATGAAAAAAAAAATTATTATAACGATTATAATACGAAGTTTGTGGCAAAAAACGTGTGTGTTTGACGGTGAGTATACATGTATATGGTCCATAGACCATTATGTTATCATTGGCCTATATAAAGAATTTAGATATCGTATTTGTGAAGTACGTAAATATTACTAAATAACTTAAAATGCATACACTTATGTTATCACAACAGCTCAATCACGGGAACAAATCACATATTAAAGTTCTGCAAAATATGTGCATGTTTGACTATTCTTTACCACATTTCTTTTATTGGAACAGCGTAAAAACGGTTAACTTCATTTATGTGTATTAACAATAATTCTAACATGACCCGCATTTTTCCCTATTGAACATAGAAGAACCGAAAGTGTGTGTTATTATGCTATAAAATCACTGTTTGACGTTCTATATTTAGACATGTGACGTAATCATTATACACGTGACGTAACCACTAAAAATGCGACGCGCTGACAAATAAGTACGGAAACAAATCAGGCGCAATTAAGCTAATTATAATCAACGGCAGCATTTATTTGTTGATGTCGTGTTAGAATCGAAATAATATATCCAAATCGGTGATTTTATTGCTTGATAACATCACTGTTTGTCGTTCGGATGCGCATCATTATATCACTCGGGCTACGCCCTCGTGATATAATTCCCCGCATCCGAACTCCAAACAGTGATGTTATTGAGCAATAAAATCACAGTTTGGGATATATTATTTCTTAAACGAAATAACCTAAACTTATACCACTAGACTTTGTTGTCTCGGACAAAAATCTGCATGTTACAACACTACCAAAATAAATGGCTTAAACAATCCATGGGTATTCAAGGTTGTTACAGTTTTATTCAAAATTTACTTATTCAACGTAAAAGTTCCGGTTGAATAAATCAATGTTATAAAATATTAAGGAAATGTTGATATTTTTTATTTATAATTGCAAATAACAAAAGAATTACAATTATTAATGGTGTCCTCGAGATTTAGCGATTTTTATTAAAAGAAAAATCAACATAAATATTAAATGTTTACATGTCTTCCATTAGAGACCGATTCACTTTAATCCTTTTATTATTATAATGTAAACCCTGTCAAATTTTCTACAAACGAAACAACTAGTAGTTAATGAGTTGTATGATATAATTTGTTTTTAAATAAAATATTAATATTTCATTCCACTCTTTTACAAAAAAAAATATTTTCTCACCTTCGTTTTTTTTATGATTAATTTTTAAGCCTATATAGCTCATTGCAGACAACTTGATTTTTACTAGTAAATCAGTTTCAGAAGCTTTCAATCAAACTTAAAACACTTGTAAAAGATGATATTAACAACATGAAAAGGAAGTTATTGTGTTCATCTGTTATCTGCGGACAAAGCATCTTCAAAATAAAGCACAAGTATATGTCTTTGGTTCTTGAGTTCATCTGCAAGTGTTTGGTATATTGCCATTTTTCATATTCATAATTCTGTTACTTTAGAATAAGATTTTTCACAGACTTTCACATATTTGGTCGGAAACTGCCCGTTTGCTGCATTTGCTGTTGTTTCCATCCGTAAATCTTCATCTACCGGATCTATGTTTGTAATAATGTCGCCCGGGTCAAAAGATAATTCGTCATCTTCACCTGTAAACATTTCAACATTTAAGAATAAATATTTTATGAATTAACATAAATAAGTTTTTATTTCCTATTGAAAAAAATTCATAACAAGGTATTGGATCAAAAAATATTTTAAAAGAAGCTAAAGAAAAATCATGATAATGCATAAATTTGAAAAACAAGATCATCAAGGAAGGGCAGCGTTGAATAAACCCTACAAGGTCCAGCAACACAGGACCACCGACAAGGACCCCAACAGAACAATAAAACCCCATTCATGTTCTTTAGTTATGTTCTTAAGTTCACGACAGTTCAACATTTATATTAAGTTTTCTATATTGTAATTTCTATGTATCCAGTACTTAATTACTTATAAACAAGGCGGGGCAAAAGGCTATCTGATTTCACGAGAGGGCATAGATGATTTCTTTTTTGGGATCATGACTCGTGGTACAACTAGCTTGAGTTTCAATTTACTATCGAATAATTACAGAATTTCTAAAGACGTCTGCAGCATTTTACGTAAATTGTAAAGAATGTGATAAAAAGGAAATTAATAGCAGCACTAAAAATTGCTCCTAAACTTAGCCATTCTCTGTTCAAAATAATAAAAATGAATAGATTCCTGACCTATCTAATTATCATTAGCAGATTAGTGGATACAATAAGAATTTCACCACAACACATTCGTTAACAAAAGAGCACATGTCAATGTTTGTGGATAAATCTATTGTTATTCAAATGAAAGGTCAAAGTAAGGATCTATCAATAAAAGCAAGTGTTTCCACTTTTTGAGGATCACAGTGTCATACTAATTTTCAGAATTGAAACCACAGCAACCGTACTTTTTTCTGTGATGAAGAAATTAAAATAACAAAATTGCCAAAAAATTGCTCTACCTACAAAATAAGTAACCATCAATCTAATATTGTAATTAATGAGTCAGGATCCATATTTGTTCAGTTTTAATTGGCTTTCATAATTTTTGCAATCACAATAAAAATGACGTTCATATGGTCCTCTATCTACATACAATGTATTACATATAAGTATCATTTACTTATCTTTGTCCATTTTTGAGAAATGACAAAATCCAGATATATTTTTCGACGGACGAGATGACGGCCAAACATCCACTATTTATGTGCTTCAATTCGTCCATATCTATTTTATATCACAGTATCGTTTAAGAATTTACATAATTATCCTGAAAATTACATACGATCAATACAAATTTCCTCTTCATTCTCAACATCTTCATCACTAATACTATCACACGAACCCTCTTCAAACGCATTCTGTACAAAATCGTAGACAGGATCTCCATACTATGAAAACAAATCTTGTTATATATGTAGTAAAAACAAAATCACAATGTTATTTACTATCGACAAAAGATTTATCTGACAGCAAGTTTCAAAATACAAATAAAAATTAAAATTATTCGCTTGAATTATAAATGTATATAGGTTTGGAATTTGGATAAATTGTCGAACATGATAAAAAGTTACCTCGATTTTATGTTAGTATTTGTTTTTCCCTGCCGTTTTTTTTTCAAAATACATGTGTGTAGCAATTTACCAAACTTAAAAGTAAAAATACGGAAAAACACCGGGACGTGATCTAAAATAATAAGCTTAACATAGAACAATACCTTGGTATTGGCAGGTTTCTTTTTTATAATTTGTTTCATACGTTTGAAAAAGCCTCGGATCTTTCCTTAAAACAGAATGAAAAGTGATATCAAATTTCGCTTTACAAACATTATCAACACTTTTTTTATTACGAATAGCTCAACAAATGATATGGAGGGAAAAATGGAACAAGTTAGATATATGTTTACGATAAAATATACAGTGTTCTTACAATTATTGTAAAGATAATAAAAAATTCTTATTTACAATATTTGCACTTTATAAACGATATCTGTACATAACTTTAATTAATTTTATTATATATCTTAAAGAATTATTAGCAATATATCTAAGAAACAAAAAAAACATACCCATGAACAGTATAGTATGTACAAATAAACGGCAGCAGAATAAACAATAAAATACTTACAGGGTACACGCACTTCCATATTATGCAAATCAATTCTTATAAGTTAAACAACTCTAGGTAATTATAGTTTGAAGAGGATTTTCTTTACTGATAAAGCAAAAAAGATTAACAAGGGAAAGCACTGTTGATGGAACGTAGCCCTCAAAATATCAAAAGGCAACGACATCCCGACGGGCACAACATGGACAAGAGGAGAGCTTACGTTTACTAACATGTGCAAACAATTTCAGGACGAATGAATGTAGAAATATAAGGAATGAGTGAAGCAGGCAAAATGGAAAGGGCGGAAATATTAAGTGACAAGGTGAAAATAAATAGGAACGGCCAAACAAAACATAAACATTTAGACAACACATAAGAAGGGACAAGATTGTGCACTGCCGTTCCATGGAAGCAAATACTACTTGGGGAAATAAAACCTGGTTATTGGTGCACCAACCCTAACATATTCCTAAATACATGAAGATTGTAAATATAATAATTCAAAATAAATGAAATTATCACTATTGATAAATTCTTCAGAATTATGTAAATACATATGCATGTAGTAAGAACAAGCCTTATGACCATAACGAAGTCCCTAAAGCCTTTATGAAGTCTACGCAACACTACAAATTACAAAGGCCATCGATACTTTGTAAAACGTCTTTTTATTCCTTAAAACTAGATAATTGTTTCATTTTCAAAATGTTAACTTACCCTTCCTTTCAACATATTCTTCACTGCCATTGTCATTATTGACCATTTCTTTATTATCTGAAGAATTTTCTTCTCCTTCATTCTTTACCAGGCCATCTTAATTCATAAAACACGTATTAATTATAAAAAACGAAACATAAAATGATAAACAAGCCACTCTATTAAACAATACTAAAAACTTCAAGAACTTGTTCAGACAAAAAATATATCTGCATGATCATAACTGACATTATCTGCTTTTGGACCCCTGAGGTGTAGGTCGCCGTTACTTAAAATAGAAAATTAGTTTACCGGACTATAACTACTAGGCATGAGATATTGTTATTAAACTTGGTATTTAGCAAGCTTTTATGGAGACACCAGGCTCGGTTGCTCTTTTGTAATCCTGGGATCAAGTGTCACTGTTACCAGAAATAGAAAAATGGTTTCTGTAGGATAACATTAGTTAAGAATTATTTGTACACAATTGATACTTCATAAATTATAGGTTGAGTTCAAAGTTTGCTTCAGGCCACTAAAATTTCCAAAAGGTAAAGGTTGCTGGTGTGGGTAATAATCATTGCTATAGTTATAACAAATATTGAGTCCTTAACACTGTGGAATGTATGATCCCTTCGTTTTTAGGGTTTAGGCCCAAAGGAGTGGATATAAGCTGCATAATATAATATAAAGCAATATAGTATGATATTATGAGGACAGTGTATTGAAATAAAAGCATTTGTGATGTTTGATGATTTAATCAATGTATTAAAGATATTTACGCAAAAAAGAAAACACATATAATCTGCTGTAGACTACTCAGGTGATCTTTAGCGCTTATTGACCTCTTGTTTATGACATAATACAATAAAAATTCTTAATCAAAAGAAATGTTGTAGAAAAGAGATCTGATAAATTCAAATTTATCCAAGTCATTCATTTATCAATTTTGAAATCATTATATTAACACACATATAATATGTAACCCTTTCAGACCAATTAATATTTTAAATTTATAGTATGTAAATTTTTTTACATATAGGTAATAAAATTATGTACCTACTGTATAACTGAAACTATTTTCTTCTTTATCACATAAATATTTGCCATGTAGATGTGATTCTTGATTTTCAAATTCATAGTTTCGAAAATTTAATGATTGTATTTATATTTATAAACCTTGGAAGATACGCGCATTGATTTTTTTTATATTCAACGTTAGACAATATGATTTGACAAATACATTTGTGTGTTCTGCATTTATGTAATAAAATAATAGGTAAATTATGTTTTTACATGCAAGTTAAATAAAAGTAAAATACAGCAACAGTGCAAACATTTCATGCAATGTACTTCTTTTTAATGAGACCCCTCAACCATTGAATTTTCAACATAATCGCATTAATGACATGCGAGCTCAGACCATCAATAAAGACACAACTGAAATAAAGTTACCAAAAGCAAATTTTCCAAAATTATTAAAATGCGTTTAGTTCGTATTCGGTACATCATTATTTTTAAACAAGATCCACTAATAGTTTCATCCAACCCATACAGTATTCGGGTTAAGCCCTTGGCAAAACAAGTATGAAAAGTACCAAAAACCAATAACTGAATGAATTATGCAAAAGGGAGTAACCGATTTTAATCACTGCACTTTCCCATAATGAAATATATTTATTAATTTTGGAATGTAATACAATTCTCCATCATCAGAATGTCAAATGCGTACAAAATACCTGAGTGTCTTCAGAAGCCATTTTATGTGTTTCTACTGTAAAGACACACGCATTTCTTCATCAAAACACAATATTTGGCTTCTAACACAACCTTTGCATTTAAAGATTTTGAATATGAAATGTGCAATTGACAAAATGATTATTGGACTTTCAAATTTCCATGAGGCTTTATTTATTGGCCTACATCTATCAGATATTTGGTTTGTATGTATTCTAAATATATATTTATCTTTGGATATACTTTGCTCTTGCATGGGTTAAAAGCAGTGTCATCGGGATTATTTTATATTCCGGTCGTAAAATTATGCTTTCTCTCACCTAAAAAAATGTTGAGATATAAGTAAGCATGAAATAACTTGTCATGATCCTCATGTTGAAGAGAGAAAACAAATAATGAAATCATTTGGTATTTTCTTATATTTGTCATTGATTTGCAATTTAAAATCAAACAAGAGAATGGATTTTATATAATTGAAGAATTTCTTTAAACTTATTGTTTTATGAAAATGAAATAACAACTTTTACAAATAAAAGAATAAAAGTAGAATTTTGTTACGAGCTTTAAATCTGATTTGCTTGATTAGTTTGTTATGTATAATGTTTTCCTTTTAATTTACCAATGCTTGTATGAAAACATAATTCATATTTACTGTTGTTGTAGTATAATATGTAAGTTTAACATAAACATATTTTTTTTGTAAAAAAAGTATTTAAGTTTAAAGAGTTTAAATTAAGAAAAGTATATTATACATGCAATACATCTCAATTCATGGTTCTATGCCTCATTTATCCTAACATTATTTGGGGCATTAACCCGGTTAATGGTGCACCAACAGTACTCTTAGCCCTAAGATATTATTCCTATATACGAGATAGTGTAAATAAAATGATATTAAATAAGGGAAATTATCCCAATTGTTAATTCATTCAGAAGGTGAAATATATAATCTTATACACGTAAATAATCATGTACATACAACAAAATCGAATCACGCACATGTGCCACCAACAGTTTGTGAAACGACTCTTTATTCTTTTAAGCTTGCTTGTATCATTTGAGATAATAATTTTACAAAATATCAACGTACCATTCCTTTCAACATATTCTTCACTTCCATTGTCATTATTCACCATTTCTTCCTTATCTGAACTATTACCTCCTCCTTCATTCTTTGCCAGACCATCTAGATCCACCAAACACACATTTATTATAAAAAATGAACAAAAAATGATAAGCAAGCCAATCCATTAAACAATGCTATGAATTTTAAGACAAAAGTATATCAGCATATTCATAACTGACATAAATTGCTTGGAAAAGGCACATACATTGTGTTTAGGCTACAGTCTGATATTATACGAATATTAAAACCACCTTGAAAATATGATACATCAACCGTATATATATAAATTAAAGATTTTGATAGTTTAAGTTCATTTCATATTGAAGGTTTAAAGCAGCATGCGTCCAGATTCATGCCAATTTTCATGAAATTTTGAAAATGTTTTTATAAGTAAAATATTGTCAATTAACCAAATGGAAACTATTTATACATTACAAACAGCACTTACAATTCGTGTAAATTACCAAATTGAGGTCAAAAAGCCTAGTAATGCAGTAGAAGTATGCTTATTATTATTATTATACATACTGAAAAATCTATCATTAATTGCATAAAACATGTAAATTATTACTAAAATTTTGAAACATTTACTTTTCCTACAGTCTTAGTGCATTTTCCCCATGTTTGATCTGATTGAAATATTTTTTGCTCATCAGGAAGCATGCAGTTTTAAAGCCAGGAACGTGAGGAAACACAGGTTTCCCTTAATTTAGGCGATGATGTTTCATACTGAAGACTTAGTTTACGGGCGCCGCCAATTTGACGATTTTTCTTTCTCTCGCGAGACAATGATTTATTTATACGAGGGATGATCAAAAATAAACCGGACTGTGACTGCCAATTGAAAAATTTTCAACCTATCAATTATTGTTATATATCACACTTAATCGGAAAACAATTCCTGTAAACTGATACTATATCTAATCTGATAACGCAAATAGCTTGTCCGCAACAGCGAATTCAAAAACCATGGTAACGCACACCCGGCGCAGTGCGTAAATTCGCCTTGACAGCAGGCGCTTTAAGCTGCGTATATTTAACAATATGGCACATTTAGATTTCAAAATACGCCAAAACGTCATGAACCATATCTTTGACGTTGTCAGTAAAAATGACTTCATTTAAACCATATTTATACTTGCAATCACAATTCAAACGTCACATGCTAATGAAATACTCCCGTTAAAACAATGTCGTCGAAATGTCTCGAAAATCGATCAATAAGAAAAAAATGTCAAAAGAAAGACGAGAAACTGTTTAAAACGTAAAAAAAGATTATGGCTATCAAGGTAAAAATTCCAGAAAGCCACAGCATATTTTTTATTAGCATAAAGAATTAAGAAAGGGTAATAGAGAAATAGAAAACAAGTAAGGGAGAGGCAGAAAAAAGAAATTTTCAAGGACGTTGGTGACGTCAATCGCCAAGACGTTGAAGACGTTGAGAAATGACAGCCGATTGACTGCGGACATTGTCAACGATGTTCGACAGTAGCTATGGGACGGTGCAGTCAACTCTAAGGATTCTAAAATGATAATAGTTAATGCATATATTACATATATTGTATTCTTGGTTTACAATTGTATCAATTATTTTCTTATTTTACGCAGTAGTTTTATGGAGAAATTGTGTCAACAATTAGACAGTCAGTGTTCAAAATCGGCTAGGCGTTTTATTTATTTTAAAATAATGACAATTTTGTTCATAGTTGTATTATTCTTCAATTTTTTCTTATGTATTATACATTATCATTCAGCAAAATTATTTTACATTATTTGTACAACGTAATATAGTTTATTGCATGTGCGATTTTCCAACAATCAAGATACAGAAGGAAAGAACGGAAGTTTGCGTCATTACAGGAGCTCTATATCATCATCCTTTATTTTACAATACAATATGATACCCACTTGTACAGAAATATATATAGGCAGTGGATCCGCCACATCAACAACACTACTGTACCACGTATTTGCCTACTCTGTGAATGAGTAAAAATCTGCTCCATTAAGGAAAAAACGCTTGTGACGTCGTTAACGTCAATTTCAAAGTTATACCGTGCGCCGCATTGCTTTACATATACATGCCAATTACAGCATAACTTTTTTCTTTGTTTATATTTCTTGTTGGTATTTTTTGTATCATTCAGGGGATAGATTCCAATTTGTTTTGCGTGTATTTTTATGTAAATTCACTTAACAGGTAAAGAATCATTTACAAAGTCCGGTTAATTTTTGATCATCCCTCGTATTTGTGTCTGTATTGTCGACTTGCAAATAAATCGTATCATTCAGAAGCAATTTATATATCATATTCAAAATGACAAGGCTCAACTGCTTCACAGCCGAATAAGAAGTATATGCTGCTACCGATATTGAAATTACTGGATGCTTCGGACACAATATGAATGCTTTGTCAAATTATTTTTTCTCGATAATGGATTGTTGTTTCGTCAACTTTATAATTACCAGTATCTTTAATTCATTTTTTGTCTTTATATATCATATGTCAATAAAGTGTATTGAACCGAACTGCTTAAATAAATTGAATAAACCTCGACATTAATAAAAGTCGGTCCGTTGATCAAAGTTGCCGGTGATATTTAAGCTTTATTTTCATAATTAAACCAACTGAATTTCCTGGTCAATTTTAGTTTTGTATTGTAATTACAACGAGAGAGGAACTCCTTCAAATTGCCAAAACAAATTTTTATTTTGAACTTAATTTTCGCAACAAGCTGTCCTGTGTAAGTATGTATCGGGTACGGTGCCAGTCATGTTTCTTTTCTTCTTTTTTCAGCGCATAAGCTCAACTAAATCCAGTAATATATGTCTTAAGTCATGCTATTACATCAACATACCTGAACAAAATTATATGAACAATATTAAGAAACATAATTATTAATACAATTGATTCCAAAATGTAAATAAATATCATTCAGTTGACCTCTGATTGAGAGGTGCAAAATTTACTTTTTAAAAGATACCCTGGTATTTTTGAAGTGTGAATATCAAAGAATCTATGTCAATAATTAACATCCCAGTATTTCATATTTACTATTTTTTCTGTAGTAAAGCATGTTAGTTATACAATCATTCATGTTTGTGTAAAATGGTACTGTAACAGTAATGTATGTGTAAAAAGGTATCTTATACCTGCAAAAGATCTAAATTCGTCATTTTGTGCCTCGGTTTGTCTCATAAAAGCAATATCCTGAACTGAATCACCTTCAATCGATGTTCCTGGTGACTCTTTAATATATTTAATATCTTCTTCTCTTGTCTTAAGTTTTATATCTATTTCTGTTTGGAACACTTGATCATCCTGTTTAAACCCTGATGTTTTGTCTTTCTTATTAATGCTTTTTATTTCAGTAATAATGACTTCCCCATCACTTTCTTCAGAAACCTGATACATTAAGTCGTCCGCAAAAATTATGTTCTCTTCCATGACTACTTCGATTGCTTTGTCTAATATATCAAGCCATTTTAGTTTTCCTCCGATATCTAGAAACCAGACTTTATTTACTTTCTTCAGTCTCCATTTTGTATTTTTACTGATGTCTGTCTCCATTCTTGGCGCTTTGACTTCTACAAGTATGTAAATATTAAATATTTATATTATACTGTATATGGTAGATTAGCACATAAATGGTATTGTGAGTGCTTTATATCTTTTAATTTTTATGTATTTCACATCATTCACTAAAAATATTTTTAAGAAAAGAATGTTCCAGAAGTCTTACCTTCATGAGAACTTATAGTCTCTGCAATATCCTCTGCAAATATGTACGCGTTTCTTGACATTTATAAATAGCTCTCGCAAATTTTACATTTGTAGATAAGAAACAAATACTTAACGTGATAAAATCAAACTATAATACAATAGTCTGTACTAATTATCCCTTATAAGATAAATTTGAAACACATTATCGGTTATTCCTTTTAAAAATCAAAATCAATGTGAATTTTTAAATAACTTGTAACTTTAATTGATTTTGCATCATCAACACGAATAAGAAATATTAAAACCCTAAACAACCAAACTGGTATACACAATTATACGTACCTATTCTTATTTGCTCACCGTTGGTAAAATCTTGACATGTACAAAACTTAGAGATAACACTATTTATCATTAAACGCAAACATCAATAACAGTCTGATTATATTTCTTTGTTGTATGTAACAAATTTCTTGTTTAAAATATTTAAATAAAAGTTTTCTCCCCTGAATGTAATAATTTGTTTAATATTTCCTTTTTGTCAGGACTACGGATAACACATTTTAAGTTGAAATAATCTGCCTTTGCGATTGTTTTTCACTATTCATATACATTAATCGTAATCAAGTTGAGATCAAAATAAAACTGAGTGCATTCAACTTATTGTTATAAAAGTTTGTTTTTTATACTTTCGACTAAATTTCTTTGTATAGTTATTTTCATTCTGATATGTTTTAAGACATAATTAAAATTCCGTAATAATTGTCATTAATTCCCAAAAATTTGAAATTGTAATGGATATTTTTTTTAGTCCTTTGATGCAAAAGGAAAGCGCTATGGGCCTAAAGTCTGTCTTTTTCCGAATATTTCAATTCTGTTCAAATCAGAAAAAAATCAAAATTAATGAAGCGTCAAGTACAAAAAAGATAATTAACTGTAAAAAAAGTTTCTGAATGACAAAACGTGTTTGTATATATGTATATGTTCTACATAACATAAAACCATCAAGGGTCTTATAAATATATTTGACTTCCCAGTGAAAACACAGATGTGTGAAGTTGACGGCCTAGCGCGGTGAAGTTGGCAGCCTTGCAACCGGCTCAGTTTATTGTCTACGTGTAGATTTATTTACATTCTAACATTCCTCGTGATTTTGTCACTATACACAAAGAAGATAAAACCAATAAACACTGGTTTTGAACTACATGTATATACGGCCTTTTTCCTCTCCCTCGATAAGATAGTTGACAAAGACTTTTTAAGGCAACTATAATTACGCATTTTATTGATATTTTCCATTCTTACTCTGTTTTCTTTTCATATGATGCTTAAATAACATCTCACATACACTAACTCTACAGGTTTGAATAAAATTTTAAAATTTATATAAGTCAAATAGCCGCCAATTCGTAAGACGAGTAATGATGTTATCCTAAGTATGCAACTCATTCATTAAGGCGCCAAACTGACAATGTTTGGGATTAACCCATACCATACGCCGCATTTCATGGGGCACGGAAGTGTCACATTGAAGGTTCCGCCGTATGAATACATCTACAGCTTTTCAAAATTAAAAAAAAAATCACCATTTTCGTATTTAAATGTTGAATTCTGCTTAACTGGTGCTGGGGGCGTGGACGGTAACTTGCAATTACTAGTACCGTTTATGAACAGGCTCAATGAAACCGAACCTGCAACATTTCAAATTTTGTTGTTTTGAATTCTCTTTTAATGATTAATCGAGCGCTCATGTAAATACGATATGATCCAGCCTGACACAAAAGTAAATTGTTGATAACTTGATAAAATAATTTGAATAATAAGATGAAACCTTTTTAGTCCCCTACCGGTTTAACCGGAGAAGTCTGTCTGTCAGTCCGTCCACAAATTTTGATCACGCGAAAACGCAAAAAGCACTGAATTTTTTTTGTGAAGCTTGATATATATGGATAGATAGCAGTCTGAAGATTATACCCTTTTTCTTTCCTTTCGTCCTATGTTGAAAAATTTGGTTTAATGATCTCCATTATTTTGTCTTGTTAGCATCGAAGTTATATCGGTTTCAGCGATGTTTCGACTATTTAACACCGGTTTTGTCGTTTTGATGCGAAAATATTTACCACAAAGACTGTAGGCCTTAGGCCCCCGTGGTCAGTTCCCACGCATCAAAACTCCAAACCGGTGTTAAATATCCGATGAGCACCGTATTTTTTCAAATATATATTTTCTATAGATTCATAACATAACATTACTACAAATAAACGTATTATCACTAATAAGTTGACTTTTAAATTTTAAAGAAGGGATAATTTCACACTTTACCGACTCGCTTGGACATAAATATTTGCTGTGGTTTTAAATAATTAACTCAAAATAATTTTAATATACTAGCTGAGAAGAAACATGTGTATATCAAAATCTAATTAATAGAAATCAAGTGACCTCTAGATTAATGACAATGCAGGCCTCTGTTTACATCATGATTTACCAGAGACAACGGCTGCATTCGTAATCAACCAATTTCGTAAAATATTGGTTTCTCCGTGTAACACGTTCATACATAGTGTCAAACAAAAATACATAGCAGTAATTACTTTTTAAACATAACAAGATGTGATAATTAATTGGTGATTTATGTTTTGAAAAAATGATTATATACTAGTATATATATTTACCAAAATATGATAAACAAGATCAACAATGAATGGCGGCGTTTAATGAACGCAACCCCCATACGAATCAGTGGCAAGGAGCCAAGGCGGACACCAAACAAAAACAGGACAGGACACAAGCGAACACGGACAGGTCAATCACTAAAATGATAAATAGTCAATCTAATGTCTAAATTGTGTTATATTAGATTTAGTCTAACGGGCAGTGCCAATCATGTAGGTGCTTCAAGTTAAAATTTAGACATGAGCCACCACATGTTTGTTTTATTTATTGAACACATATGCCAAGTGATAAGTTGGCAAATGTGGTGGCTCATACCTTATTTTCATGGTTTTTTTCAATCTTTGTTTGGATAAAATGTGCAAAAAAATCACAAAATAACAGATTTCCACAAGCCTGAGTGACTGAGAGTTATTTGTTGGTGTGAATCATGATTGGCTTCATGTTTACATGTAGGTTGGGTTTATATCAAAAAACCAATTTGATTTGGTTAAGCATTTTTTCCATAATTTTAGAGCACGTTTATGAGTTAAGTGGACCTAGCCTTTTGAAATGTAATGTAAATATTGAAATTTTATCATCAGACAAAATGAAATATCCATCCCTTATTCTTTATAAAATAGTACATAACAAGCTTAGCAATATTCATAAATATATGTTTTCACATTATTTCAACAAAATTGTGCACCCTCATTTAAAAGCTTTATAAAATAAGTGCATCAACGAAAACATGTTCTGATCATGCTTCTTATTGATAAAGATTGATCACAGATGACATAATTGATATTAACAATAAAGGTTCCGCCTTGTAGACGTAAAACAACATAATATTTCATTACCGAAAAAAAGAGTTTATTTTAGCTATTTCACTACTCACTTCATATTTAAACTCGCTACAATTGAAAAATTGCTTAAATCCCGCACCAGGTTGCCCAAATTGCTGTCTGATGTCGATTTAAAATGTAAGTTTAAATTGCACCGTCATTCGTTAGAATCTGATGAACTTTTTTGGCAATATATATCAATGTTATAAACTACAACGGCAATTTCTTGAAAACAATCAGATATACGGTAATATCTTCGATATCTACAAGTTATATTTACAAATACATGTGTACAATTATCAATAAACATTATACTAACATATCTCAAAATTGCTTTTACCTGTAAAATAAGTCTAAATACTGTAAATTCTGTATAGAATTTTGTTCATCACATTTTGGATTTTTCTTTTTTCAATCTTTATGATTTCATGTCTTCAGAGAAACCGTTTTTACAGACGTCAACAGAATTGGATGGGAACATTCCACGTTCTCGTTTCCTTTTGTTCCTATCCACTAATCATCCTGTACTGGATCAATGTTTTTTAAAATGTCGCCGGACCCGAAAGATATCTCATCGCCGTTTTCTGTATATATATAAACATTTTAAAAGAAATATACAATGCAATTTACATAAATAAAAAAACTTTAAAATCATAATTTTATTTCTAAAAAATAAATTCGATCGGGTTACTTGTAAAGTAATTGCTTACTCCGTCTTTGTACATGATGTAGATATAACCGTTTATCTAGAAACATTCAGAGTTGATAGAGGGCTTATGTAAAATATTTAATAAACAACCTAAGTCAAGGAATATCAATTGAGTGCTCTTTCATATAATGTTCAAATGTATTTGTAAAAAAGATCCTTAAAGTTTATAAAAACAATTGTTAAAATACATACCTGCTGTGCAATCGTTCAAAGCAATTGCATGAAATTTTGGAATTTTATCAACAGTTTTATTGCTTGTTCTTTGATCCTCGTGTACATCTGAAGTATGAAATGAACAACGGAACAGATTTACTTGCAAATTTAAAGAGGAATTAATAAAATGTACTTATTGTTAATGTTTTAACACAGTCCGACAGAAGTAGACCGCTATGTTCTTGCGCACCCACATTTAACTATTATGTGTGTACGTTAGTTATTTTCAAGTTATATTCTCATTGTTGTCTGTATAAAACATGTGTTAATATATGTACCTATTATACCATAGTTATCAGAACGTATGAAAAAAACTGTTAACTTTAGATATCACCCGAACATTATGAAAAAGAAAATAAAAATGATGAGGATGAACTTTCTCGCGGAATAAGAAGTACTTATCGTTAATGTTTTAACACAGTTCGACAAAAACAGAGCGCTGGCTGCTTTTGTTGAAAACATTTAACTATACTATAAAGTGTGTATGTTAGTTATTTTAAAGATATCTTGTCATTGTTTTCTGTATGTGTTATATACCTAATATACCATAGTTATCAGAACGTTGGAAAAAAACTTTTTTTTAAAATCATATAACTTGAAATATCACCTAAAAATTATAAATAAGAAAATAAAAATGATGAAGATTAACTTTCTCGCATTACTTAAGTTTTATGACAGCGTACACTTTTCAACCTTTATTTTGTTTATTGTTGTATTACCGCAAAATACTGTTTGTACAATCAATTTATGAAAACAACAACAACAACAACAACAACAACAAATGAACCCCAAAAACAAACAAACAAACAAAACACCCAGCCCTTATTCCGGTTATTACTAATTAGTTATCCTGGAAAACTGTAAGGTGGTTCGATCTCTGAGATACAAATGTGATGAAACAGTGTTAAAATCTAAGTAACAATACATAACAACGGGCAGAATGTCGAGCCCGTTCGTCTCAATTGACATTATATCACCATAGGTGACCTTGATCTTTGACCTGGTTCTTGTGCATGACAGGAAGTCTTATGATGTACATTTCTGCCTAATAACCTCATTTTATGTTATTTGAAAATGTCTCAATACACAAAGAAATTATAGCATGGACAAGTTTGGATACACGCACGCACACACAAACACTGAAGAGCCATTTTGACATCTATTTCGAGCTCAGCGCAAGCGGGTTCGACAAAAATCCTCTGACCACGAAGCATAACACTTGAAGCATAAGCAAGACACAGTGCGGTCAACCATATCTTTATTTGTCCTTTGACCTCTTGTGACCTTGACATTTATTTTGCGTAAAATAAATCAACTCAACATTGATAATATATGTATTTGTAATAAGATATATTATAAACAATTCATGTATATAGAAGTTATATTTGCAAATGACAAACAATTTATACAGTTTCTATTTGACATTTGACCTCTTGTAACTTTGACCTTCATTTTGCACGAGCCAATTCAACTCTTACGTGGATAATAATTGTGCTAAGACCTATTAAAATCCATCCATGTATATAGAAGTTATACTCGCAAATGAATGGGTTTTTTTGTTATTTGACCTTTGACCCCTAAGTTTGAAATTGACCTTTACCATGGACACCCGAATTTTTCGCGCAACACTCCGCCTTGCTATGGAGAACATTTGACCCTTGTTATATTTAAATCCCTCCATGCATGTGGATGCTACACTTTGGACACGGTTTTTGCTCTGATCCCTAAGTGTGACCTTGACCTTTGAGCAGCGGACCTGGGTTTTGGGTCACACAACACCCCATCATGGTGAACATCGGTACCAAATTAATTTGTAATCCTTCAAGGAATAAGCAACATATAGACCGGCCAAATCCGGACGAATGCACGGAGGCACGCACGGACGTACATACACATAGCTATACGCCAACAGTGTCGACTTACTTGAGCACATCGCCAGCAGGCCCGACAACAATGACAAATCACAACCTTTTATATATACTTATCAAACGAGCCTCGAACAAGAGTAACAATTGTACAAAAAGGTAAAGCAAAATTTATATCTTCGAACAAATCGGCCAAATAAATGGTATTTATTTGAAGCGTAGTGTAACAGCTTACCGGACTTTACAACGCTTTCTACATTAACATAAATGTGTTCCTCTAAATCTTCTCATATTTCCGCCGGCTCTTTTGGTTCATTCTTTAATGCCCCACTCACGTACCTATGTTTCAACCTGTCATCTGATAAAATTAAGTAAATGTAGATTCTTTAGGATCATAATGATTGAATTAGACTAATAAAGTGTTTTACAATTAATTAAAGACTGAGCTCTTCAATTTCATGTAAGTATTCCATCATTGTGTACTTTTTTGTCTTATTATGGTATTGTTCAGTTCTCTCAAGAGAGTGGTTTCTACTAACAAAGCAGAACAAGCACACGAAATCTGCATTCATACATGTAATTAATAAACAGTAAAAAGTGTGCATCCCAATTACTTTTACAATATGAGGTTTGAAAAACGTTCTTTAATCTCAATGTATTCTTTCATAAGTTCGACAAAATGTCTTGTTAATGTTGCTCTAAGAAATATTAAAAAGCATAGGCATCTTTTAATATAAGTACTAAAAATGATATCGACTATGTGGCTTCAGTTTACACCTGTGGTAACCAGGAGTGACAGAAAATATCCTTTCAATTCCCTCTGCAAATCATTTTTTGTCCGATTTGAATAGTATATCTCCGGATGCAGTAAGAACTACGGTTCACTCTGCAGACCAAATGCCTGATGTGATAAATGATATCAACAGCCCCCTTATAAAAAGGGAGAAGAGAACTTAAATGTTTTGCAAAACAATTTTGATTTCTATTGTTATATTCTTTCCGAAGCAAATGAACCAGATGTAACCAAATGTGTCATTTGTTTAATAAAACCATCATTTTCAGTCCATTATCATTGATATATACATATCTATATCTAGATTGTTATGCACAGCTAAATTATTTAATTTTAAGTCAGATGTACAAATATATATCTACATTGTATATCTAAATTGTTATGCACAACTAAATTAGTTAATTTTAATTCAGATGTACAAAGTTCATAAAGTAAAAATAACACGGTTTATTATGGATCTTCCTTCGTGCTGGTATATTTAAATAAAACACATCCAAAAACATTATACGAGGGACACTAATTTACTCGTGTCACCGATGTGCTTCTATTTTAATGTGGCTGTAGGAATCAAATTTTAACTGGCCGTTTCAGAACGTTTAACTTTAAGTGAAAGAAATTGGGGTGTTAGTTAACTTTATTTAAAATATAATTACTCTTTTACCTTTTAATCTCACTCGACCAGGTGCGGTGACCAAAGCCGAATATTTTGTACATATATGCAATGGTTTTTCACCTTAATTAACTGAGACCTATAGATTATTCTTTCCAATAGAATTATTTTTGAAATCATGCAGTTTACCCAAACATCTGAAGTTACACCAGCTTTTTTACTTCCAAAATAGGAAATTTTAGCGAAAATTTTCCCCAAAATCAATAGACTAAGGCCTCTTTCTAATAAAGTGAATAACATCACTAATATATTTTATCATATTGTTAAAGAAAGTTCATTTTCAACCGAATTCGGTATACATTGACATGTTAAATCGCTTCAAGTTCGACTTTAAAAATCGCTCAATGGCCTATGTAACATGTAAGGGCATGAGTTGACCGGTTTTTATTGTGTTTATGATATAGAAACCTTGCATAGATAAAACTCTATGAATTTTGAATGAAGATGAAGAAATAAATAATCATTTTTATAGCTTTGTCACCTTTGGCATCATTCATCATTTATTCATTCATGAAATATATACCTCCGTAGGCAATCAATTTTCCAAGGTCTAGTGCTTTTCCAGAAATATTTCGCAAAAAACTTTTTAGCGTGTCTTTGACAGATTCTCCGAGAACAATCATGAATGGTTCAGATTCAAGTACGACTCGTATCATTTTAACAGTGTTCACTTTTCCGAAAATTTAACGGATTGTTGCCTTCATCCAAAAAAGGATCCAGTTCACTTTTGTATTTTGACACGATGGTAACATCTAATGTCGTGAACAATTTGCCTATAAAGAGGTAAAACTATTTCGATATTTGTCGAAAGACAAGCTATCAGTTTCTCTACTTGTTAAATGGTTTGTAAGCTTTCAGAAATGCCAAATCATAAGCAATCAATTAAATAAATGAAAAGTGCATTTCATGACTAGTCTTTATACCTATGGAAATGAGTGCACGAAAAACGCATAGAGACTCGTTACTGTATAGAAATAGTTTATTGACACTATTATTTGATATCTCTTTTAGTAAACATTTCCAATTGGTGAAATTTGAAATTGAGTCTAGGACCTCACATTGTTTTTAGTCCTAATTTGTTAAAAAGCGCATGTGTCCGAATAATTGGGTTATTTCTGGACATTTTAACTCGTATTTGATTTAGATTAAGTCTAAATATATTCTAAAACACTTGTTTTTAAATATCTAAAGATCCTGTAACCCTTTTTATGGCTTTTTATCATAAATATAATTCTCAAATCGAAGACTTTTTTAATCATGTACTGCAAATATTTATCCACATTATTTGCAATCATTAAAATATATGCATTCATTTCTTACTGAAATATTTGACTTAGACTTAATAGAAAATAGATTTATAATTACCTCCCTTTATTAACATGAAAATGAAAAGTCGGTGATATCTTTACAAATAATGCTTTATGAGACTAACAATATTGATAAATCTTCATTTGAGCATTTTATTTATGAAATTGAGTTACAGGAGTTTTAAGGTTAATCAATAAGATTTAATATCGAAAATTTTCTCTTTAAAACTGTAATAACAAAAGTCAGGTATTTGTGCCCCATGTTTACATAAACAATCTTTAAGGGAAGTCATGTTTTAACCGATGATTTATTAGTTGCTGTTTTTTTATAAAATAAGTTATATTTCAAATTCCAGTTAACTGAAAAAACCATAACGATATACATAGCATATAAATATAATAATATATTGAAATTTGTCAGTATAAAGTTTTCCATTTTTTTCCATCATATAAATATATATCATTCCATAAATGTATGCTGTTTACAGATATGAAATTTAAATGATTATGAATCGATCAACATAAAATCATGACTTAACAACTTTTTCAATAAGTAGAATATGTAGGTATTTTAATACATTATAAAGTATCCGGGACATCAAAAAAATGCATACATTTTTGGAACAACTGATATGCAATTTGGTAACAATAATATAAAGGCACCCTGTCTCATATACCGAAATGTTTTCTACGGAAACGTATAGCGACCACCCCTACATGTTAGTTTAAACAGATCTTTTGACAATTTATTTAATATAACATTATATTTTTACCAGCTTAATAGATCTGAAATATTTATAGTATAAAACTATAAAAAAAGTCTTTCTAAAGTTTCCATGCGCCGATGTATATTAAAGAATTGCGGTTAACGAGTATGTAATGTCAACTAGCACCTCTATTGTCTGAGCACGTGTATGTTTGCTCTTTATAGAAAAGGTGTTATGATTACATGATAAATGGCAACCGCTACGTCTTTTTAATTAAATCAAATCATAATCATTGGATTTAAATTAAATACTGTGATAATTTTCAATCAACTATTTTAATAGTGATCTAAATTAGGCGGAAACTTCAAACACAGTTTTGTTTAATCTTGTATTTTGAAATCATTAAGAAACATCAAAGAGATGATACGCTGCTATGTTATCTGACTAAAGGGAAAATTTAAACATTGAAAATAAGCGATATGAATTCAAAGTTTAATACTCACTCAAATACCTTTTTAAACAGACTTCTGAAATTCATGCAAATTATTTAGGGATTATTCTCATCTTTGAAATGAAATCGGATTTGATTTCGGTAATAAAACACATTAATAACAAGGGAAGTAATCATGATATGATATACATAATTATCCGTCTATAACATCATTTTTTATAATTAAATATTATTTTCCTTTGTTTATGGTTCAGTTTGAATGATTTTATATTAATTACTAAAACAAGATCTATTAAAATGTTTATTTTAACTTTTACAAGCCGATTTCGGTATGGTAACATATATTTCGGTTCGTGACAAATCAGGGAATTCAAGTAATCTTGATATTTAGATATTTGTTTCTAATTTCATAATAATTAATTATTTCGAACTTATTTTTTGCATAAAAGTCAAACTTAACCTATTGTAATATATTATAATGGAAAAAATATAATAAAACGTTTTATTGTGATTTTACAAGCCGATTTCGGTATTGTAACATATATTTCGGTTCGTGGCAAATCAGGGAGTAATCTTGATATTTAGTTATTTGTTTCTAATTTCATAATTATTTATTATTTCGAACTGATTTTTTGCATGAAAGTCAAACTTAACCTATTGTAATATATTATAATGGAAAAAATATAATAAAACGCTTAATTGTAATTTTGCAAGTTGATTTGGTAATGAAAAGTTGATTTCGGTAACTTTACCGAAATCAAGTTGATTTCGGTATCGTAATGTACCGATAAATATACAATGAAAAGTGCATGAACTTAGCAAACACATTGTGACAACCATACATGCATGGATATATCTAAGTAGGAAGTAGCTTCAGATATTACCTAAGAATGTATATATGTATGTATTACATAGAAAAAATGCATCAGTATTTACACAAACACTAACAATACGCCATTCATTATGGATAATTCATTGTCATACCTTATCTTACATAAATCAAAATGCAAGATGATGATGTATTTTTTGTCACCATAATATATATTCATAGCATTTATAAGAAAAATTATAAATATTGTACACTTGTAACCTTTTGAAAAGGACAAGAAATATATCAAAGTGGTAATTTGAACACTGTATTTCATATAATTGTCATATCAAAAGAATAATAAATGATAAAAAACATACACACTAAGGAAACCCCTCGATATTCCATATTAAACAAGCAATTATCATAGTATTGCAAGCAATCCATAAATCCCCTACCGATAAGAACCCAAGCAACATTCTGAAGGGCCATTGGTCATTAAATTATGCCATTCAATTAATAAATGACACATATGAACTTAAATTGTTTGAGTTCTTAGTTTGTCTATATCTTAGTAATGCATTTTCTTCTCTTGCCTAGCAATGAAATTATGTTTATACAAGAGATATTAAATCAGAAAATCGAAT